ACTACACGTACTACATACTGCAGGTTAAACATACTACACGTACTACATACTGCAGGTTAAACATACTACACGTACTACATACTGCAGGTTAAACATACTACACGTACTACATACTGCAGGTTAAACATACTACACGTACTACATACTGCAGGTTAAACATACTACACGTACTACATACTGCAGGTTAAACATACTACACGTACTACATACTGCAGGTTAAACATACTACACGTACTACATACTGCAGGTTAAACATACTACACGTACTACATACTGCAGGTTAAACATACTACACGTACTACATACTGCAGGTTAATCATACTACACGTACTACATACTGCAGGTTAAACATACTACACGTACTACATACTGCAGGTTAAACATACTACACGTACTACATACTGCAGGTTAAACATACTACACGTACTACATACTGCAGGTTAAACATACTACACGTACTACATACTGCAGGTTAAACATACTACACGTACTACATACTGCAGGTTAAACATACTACACGTACTACATACTGCAGGTTAAACATACTACACGTACTACATACTGCAGGTTAAACATACTACACGTACTACATACTGCAGGTTAAACATACTACACGTACTACATACTGCAGGTTAAACATACTACACGTACTACATACTGCAGGTTAAACATACTACACGTACTACATACTGCAGGTTAAACATACTACACGTACTACATACTGCAGGTTAAACATACTACACGTACTACATACTGCAGGTTAAACATACTACACGTACTACATACTGCAGGTTAAACATACTACACGTACTACATACTGCAGGTTAAACATACTACACGTACTACATACTGCAGGTTAAACATACTACACGTACTACATACTGCAGGTTAAACATACTACACGTACTACATACTGCAGGTTAAACATACTACACGTACTACATACTGCAGGTTAAACATACTACACGTACTACATACTGCAGGTTAAACATACTACACGTACTACATACTGCAGGTTAAACATACTACACGTACTACATACTGCAGGTTAATCATACTACACGTACTACATACTGCAGGTTAAACATACTACACGTACTACATACTGCAGGTTAAACATACTACACGTACTACATACTGCAGGTTAAACATACTACACGTACTACATACTGCAGGTTAAACATACTACACGTACTACATACTGCAGGTTAAACATACTACACGTACTACATACTGCAGGTTAAACATACTACACGTACTACATACTGCAGGTTAAACATACTACACGTACTACATACTGCAGGTTAAACATACTACACGTACTACATACTGCAGGTTAAACATACTACACGTACTACATACTGCAGGTTAAACATACTACACGTACTACATACTGCAGGTTAAACATACTACACGTACTACATACTGCAGGTTAAACATACTACACGTACTACATACTGCAGGTTAAACATACTACACGTACTACATACTGCAGGTTAAACATACTACACGTACTACATACTGCAGGTTAAACATACTACACGTACTACATACTGCAGGTTAAACATACTACACGTACTACATACTGCAGGTTAAACATACTACACGTACTACATACTGCAGGTTAAACATACTACACGTACTACATACTGCAGGTTAAACATACTACACGTACTACATACTGCAGGTTAAACATACTACACGTACTACATACTGCAGGTTAAACATACTACACGTACTACATACTGCAGGTTAAACATACTACACGTACTACATACTGCAGGTTAAACATACTACACGTACTACATACTGCAGGTTAAACATACTACACGTACTACATACTGCAGGTTAAACATACTACACGTACTACATACTGCAGGTTAAACATACTACACGTACTACATACTGCAGGTTAAACATACTACACGTACTACATACTGCAGGTTAAACATACTACACGTACTACATACTGCAGGTTAAACATACTACACGTACTACATACTGCAGGTTAAACATACTACACGTACTACATACTGCAGGTTAAACATACTACACGTACTACATACTGCAGGTTAAACATACTACACGTACTACATACTGCAGGTTAAACATACTACACGTACTACATACTGCAGGTTAAACATACTACAGGTACTACATACTGCAGGTTAAACATACTACAGGTACTACATACTGCAGGTTAAACATACTACAGGTGCTACAAACTGCAGGTTAAACATACCACGTACTACATACTGCAGGTTAAACATACTACACGTACTACATACTGCAGGTTAAACATACTACACGTACTACATACTGCAGGTTAAACATACTACAGGTACTACATACTGCAGGTTAAACATACTACAGGTACTACATACTGCAGGTTAAACATACTACAGGTGCTACAAACTGCAGGTTAAACATACCACGTACTACATACTGCAGGTTAAACATACTACACGTACTACATACTGCAGGTTAAACATACTACACGTACTACATACTGCAGGTTAAACATACTACAGGTACTACATACTGCAGGTTAAACATACTACAGGTACTACATACTGCAGGTTAAACATACTACAGGTGCTACAAACTGCAGGTTAAACATACCACGTACTACATACTGCAGGTTAAACATACTACACGTACTACATACTGCAGGTTAAACATACTACACGTACTACATACTGCAGGTTAAACATACTACAGGTACTACATACTGCAGGTTAAACATACTACAGGTACTACATACTGCAGGTTAAACATACTACAGGTGCTACAAACTGCAGGTTAAACATACCACGTACTACATACTGCAGGTTAAACATACTACACGTACTACATACTGCAGGTTAAACATACTACACGTACTACATACTGCAGGTTAAACATACTACAGGTACTACATACTGCAGGTTAAACATACTACAGGTACTACATACTGCAGGTTAAACATACTACAGGTGCTACAAACTGCAGGTTAAACATACCACGTACTACATACTGCAGGTTAAACATGCTACACGTACTACATACTGCAGGTTAAACATACTACAGGTACTACATACTGCAGGTTAAACATACTACAGGTACTACATACTGCAGGTTAAACATACTACAGGTGCTACAAACTGCAGGTTAAACATACCACGTACTACATACTGCAGGTTAAACATGCTACACGTACCACATACTGCAGGTTAAACATACTACAGGTGCTACATACTGCAGGTTAAACATACTACAGGTATTACATGCTGCAGGTTAAACATACTACAGGTGCTACATACTGCAGGTTAAACATACTACAGGTGCTGCATACTGCAGGTTAAACATACTACAGGTACTACATACTGCAGGTTAAACATACTACAGGTGCTACATACTGCAGGTTAAACATACTACAGGTACTACAGTACTACAGGTACTGTAAACTATGTGTATATCATTTTGTATGTATTGACAGTAAATTACAATACGTATGTTCTGCTTACGCATCAGGCACATGAATAAAAGACGACACAAAGTTTGCTATAGCATGAAACAGATTTATTTCAACATTTATCTGAAGTTTCCTTTTCAGAAAGTTTGCCACATCAATCCACAATATTCTTGTATACAGTGAAAAAATACATGGCCCACAGACATCACAGTGTATTATTATTATGTATTGTTGTGATTTACCTTATGTGTTAATTTTGTTTAAATCTTTCTAACACAGTTTTATTGTGTTTTATTTACTGCATTGCAGAACAGAGCGTCTCAGGAGATCCTTCGTCACACACACTCACACATATCATATTAACCACAACTGGACTGGACTGTGGAATGGACAATGTTATTATTTTCATTTTATTTTATTATTGTACTTGTATTTTACTATTTTTATTTATGCACCCTTTTTGACTTGTTTTATTTTTTTGTCTATTTTAATACCACTGTGTTGTTGTTGATGAGGGGAAGTGTGGTTGTTGTTTTTTGTCTTTTATGAGCTGCTGAACAGCTGAATTTCCCTTTGAGGGAGATGCTGCCCCACACCATCACACTGCCTCCACCAAAAGATGCTACTCTATTGGTGCAGCAATCAGCAAAGCGTTCTCAAACGCTCCAACTGCTGTAGGCAGAATCTGAACTCATCGCTGAACATAACGTTTCTCCACATGTTCAGGTTCCAGTGCACGTGTTGCCGACACTAGTCACACTATGTGCAGTCTGTTCTGGATTGTCTAGGCAGAGAGCCGTCAGCCATTTCATCCTGAAAACCTTGACAGCAAATCTGTAGAAGACTGCCAGTGCATAAGAGCTGACAGAATGAGTTAACAGTCTTCTTGGGGTGTCGTCTTGGCCTTCAGGTTGCAGATGGTAGGGCTCACTCCAAATAACATAGCAACTTGGTTTTGCGGAACACCAGCTTGAAGTTGCCCTATCGTACGGACCCTATCCAGATCAGTCGAACGTGGCATGCCGATTCTTGGAGCAGACACCAACTGACCACTGTAGCAGGGCCCAGAAGCTCAAAACAAGAGTCAGTAGCAACAGCCAAAAAAAGCTGTTTGGCATTGGCAGAAAGATTTGGCAAATTTTTCATGGGCGCAACCCACATACTCAGCTCTGCTGCTCATCCCACAAATGCATGTTCCTTACAAATGTGGCACCATTTAAAGGGGAAATAAACAGCTTTTCCAGCAGTATAAGATTTATTGCCAAGAAGCATTGTCACAACAATGAAACAATCTACCAAACACAAATTTCCTTACATTTTGTGCTTAGTTTATAATATCTTAAAATGCACTTCATTAAATTGTTATTGATGCAGTATTTCTAACCAATTTTCCATGCTCTCTCCCACTGTATAAGGCAGACTAAAGACATGTAATATTTTTTATGACATCTCCTGTCTAATGTTGTGTTCCTGGGAGCTCGCGCCGGCCCGCCCCTGACGGTGTGTCACGTCCTGACGCTTTTCCACGTCGCAGTTCCGTCTCACAGGCGAACTCGCTGCGTGTGTATGCGTGTCTCCAGCTAGGCCAGAGAGTGATGGCGGCGCCCGTCCTGAGAGTGTCCACCCCTCGGTGGGAAAGAATAGCCAGGCTTCTCGTCTGCCTGCTGGGCATACTGCTGTCTCTATATGCCTTCCACGTCGAGAGGGAAAAGGCCCGGGACCCCAGTTACAAGGCTATGTGCGACGTGAGCAGCTCCATCAGCTGTTCAAAAGTGTTCAGCTCAAGGTAATTTGAATTCAGCAAAGAGCGCTCAATGAAGCTGCTGTGCTGCTATTGTGGCGGTTCAAACTGTCAGATGCTCCCAAGCTAACTGCTAACTGTGACTGCCGGCCCGATGCTAGCTGCCGGTTAGCTTAATAACCTGAGTGGGATAACTGTACTGTTAGCTCATCATTTAATAAGTACAATATTAGCTATGTAGCTCGATGGAGCTATCTTTGCTAACCGTTAGCTAACGCAACCCATTTGATACACTTCTCAGCCAGTTAGCTATCAACACTGAGCCGACAACAGTGTTAAATTCAATCAATCGATGACTTTCTGATAGCTATCGATCACACTGTGTGCGCTCTGTGTTGGAAAAGCTAACACATCTGTTAACACCAACTTTAAGCTAACAAAAGTTGGCGCTAGCTTGTTGAGACTAACAGTATTGTTGTGTGTTGACGGATGAGTCCATTCATTCCGACCACCAAAACTAGGATATCTGGTAGTTAGCTGGGTGAATGTTGATAATTTTGGGTTAACTTTATAACCTACAAACCTGAGCATTGCTGTGTTACAGGCTCCTCTGCTCCTCTGCACAGTGTCCCCTTTATATGACACATGAAGGTAACCTTTCAATAGGTTTTATGTTTTCAGCTCCTCCTTGAAATCAAATGTTACGCCCTCAATTGTATGGGCAAGACACTGATAACTCCACAGTGGCTGAACAGATGTTTACCATTCCAGTTGCATTTGAAACATCTATGTTCTTTCTTCCTTTTGCCATTTGAACTCCAAAATTTTGCCACTGTTTGTTTATATCAAGAGACACAGGAGCCTGGGAACACAGGGGTGACCCCCAGTTAGCTATCAGTGGTTGTCAGCATTGTTAAATTAAATCAGCTGATAAGTTACTGAGTGGTCCTCTGTGTGCTCTCTGTTTATAAAATGGTAACACATCTGTAACACCAACTTCAGCACAAAAGGTGACAATAGCTTGTTCAGACTCATGTTATGGTTGCATGTGTGTTGTTGCGGGATTACTCTATTCTAGAGCTGCAACGATTAGTCAGTTAATGAAATGTTGAATCAACAGGAAATTAATTGGAAACTTTTAAAGGTCTTGAGTGATTGGCTGAAATAGAATATGGCATTTATAATTATCTTATAATAAAAACCGTCATGTTTTCATTACCGCAGAGTGAGTCGTTTGTATCTACATACAGAGCGGGTCCTCTTCTACAGAGTCCGCCATGATGACCTTTAAGTCACTTTTCAAGCAAAAAAATGACCCCAAAAAATGTGCCCAGGTTCTCAAATGTGAGGATTTGCTGCTTTCCCTGGTCTTACATTATAGTAAATTTAATGTTTTTGGGTTTGAAAATGTTGGTTGGATAAAACAAAGCTTTTGATGATGTCACTGTAGGCTCTTGGATATTGCAACAGGCTTTTCTCACTGATTTCTAACAGATCGAAACAATGAATCGAGAAAATAATGTACAAATTAATCTGTAACGTATAATCGCTGGTGCAACTATTCTCAAACAACTTAGACAAAAGTTGCCACATTAGCCACTAGGTTTGGCATCTTTTACTTCATGCATTACTGGAACTATTGGGACTGTTTTCATCAGGCACATTAAACATTGAATTACAGTATGGCTGTATCGTTTTGCAATATTTTTAGACCAAAACATTAATTGATTATTGGAGAAAATAATCCACAACAATCATTAGTTGCAGCCCTAGTCCACTCATTCCAGCAACCAAAATTATTTTTGGTGGTTAGCTTGCTCAATGTTGATAATCTGGTGTAACTTTTTAACCTATCACCAGCACTCATGTTAGCTTTCATGCTGCTGTCATTAGCTGCCATGCAGATGTCACCAGGCAGCTATCAGTCAGCCCACAGGCTTTAACTCTACACCTTAGCTGCCTAAAGTGCAGTGCACAGAGCTGCTCCATAGGTCAGCAAAGGGGACTAAAGCTAAATTCCCACAGCTTCACAAATAAAGCTGCTGAGTTTTACAGAAGCCATGTGATCATCAGAAATATATCTGAGTTGGTTCACTCACAAGGACGCGTTTGCAAGCAATCAGTCATTGAGAATATCATCCATTCACAGTCTTACAATCATAGCGCTCAGGGTATGAAATTAAAAAAATATTTTGGGGGCAATTATGGCCCCCACGGTCTAAAAAATGGGGGCATTTTCAAAATGTTTGGGGGCCATCAAAAAATTGTAATTATGTTTTAACAATAAGCACATGAAAAGAAAAACCAACTAAGATAGTGTCTTCACTCTTCAGTAGAAACCACTATAAATGAAATAAATAATGGGTTACATAAAGTTATGGTTGCAAAATATCACTCAGATTTCCTATAATTTAACCAGTTTAAATGTGATGATTTAACCATTAATCTACTGATAGCAGTACTAATGTTTGACCACATTACGGTTACTTTTACTGTTAAAAAGGCCAAATTACTATAAATTCCTTAGATGCAATCCTGGAAGTAAGTTAATTTAAAATTTAACATTCATTCTACCTTAATTTTTCATTAATTTGTCATTGTGTAGACACAGATCACCCAAGAAATGGTTAATTTATACTTATGGTACAGCAAAGCCCCCTCCCCTTCTCTGTCAGATTACTCTCACGTAATCAGTGCAATTTCGTTGATTATGTCTGGAAAATGAGTTGTAGACGTGACGGTAAATTAATTTAATGAAAATAAAATTATACTTTAATGTCAGATTGTAATACTGTTAAAAATATAAATACATATAGTTGTTTCGAAAACTTGGGGGCAATTTTGGCCCCTGGAACGTGGCTTTTGGGGGCATTCTTGGATAAATTGCGGGCCAAATGGCCCATGGCCCTTGCTAATTTCTGACACTGATAGCGCTTGTATAAAAGCAATGCTGTGAAGTTCCCATACCAGCTTGACCTATTGAATCTCATCGAATGAGAGTCTTAGCAGGCCTTGGACTGATACTCACAGCATGGCTGGAATGTAACCTGTCTAGGACTTAATACATATTTGTAAGATGAGTGGGTGAATTCACTGTCTGAGTATTAGACACAGTCTCGCCTTTGTCAGCTAAAATGAGTTGTGAACCATCAGTGACTGAATGTCTTTATAAATGATAGTGAATGACTGAAGGAAAGTTAACAGTTTCTACTTCAGCCAAACAAGCTCAGATTCCAGTAGTCTAATCATGTCTAACGCAATCAAGGGCTGTAGAGTAAAAACACTATATTTGGTGATGCATATCATTGTGTTTGTTATGTATCCTTGCATGCCTCCTCAAATGCTTATCTTTTTGAGATAAAGCCTTGAAACACTAACCAGAAAGTCTTAAAATAATGGAAAGCATGGACGCCTGCAGTGTGGGAAAACATTATTTATTATACACAAGGTGCATAAGCTTCCACAAAGTGTAAATGAAATGAGATTGCTTAATTTATTGCACACTAATGGATGCATAGAAATATTTAAAATGGTCATGTACTTGCGCAGAGGTTTTTATACTGATATTATCCCCAACTCCTACTAGCATTATTCCCAAGTATTTTACAGCATGATGTTTAGAAGTCGACTGCGGCCTGGCTGAAAACATTGTTGTAGTAAATGAGAAGAAATCAAACAAAGGTCTGAGTTATTAAACCAGCATCTTATCTCCATGTTCCTGCTGTATAGCCTCAAATGAGTCATGGAAAACTTTATTGAATTCACTCTAATGTTTACTGAAACATAATAAAAATATGATAAGGAATAATTAATGTATGAATATACCTGTGTAGTTGTACTACACTTTGAATCGTCAGCGAATGGATCAGTGTATATTGAGGGTCATATGACAGTAGCATCCAACTAAACAAGATCACATTCTTTGAGATCATACAAGAAATGAAATGCATCCTTGAAATGTTTGTGGCAGAGCAGAAAGACCGTTTCCAACTCTGTGAAAAGCAGTAATATGTTCACTGAACATGTTGAACATTTGTACTGTTTTTGATTCAACAAAAAAAAGTGCACATTTTTCTTATCTTTTGCTGCACTGGTGTTTGAGGTTTTTCTTTTGAAGAAACCTCTTGGCACGTCAAAGTGATGTTGAAATTTGCCATAAATAGAAACAAACTAAAGACAAACCTCTTCATAGCAGTTTTACTGGGGCACAAACTGAAATGAGGTTGAAGTTAGTGGTGAACAACAGGTGGGGGCGAGGGAATATTTCCGCCACACCAGCGTCTGTGCCACAGAAATACAGATAAATTAAATGTCCCCCTTTTGAGACAGAGCTCTTAAAGTGACAGTTCATCGCAAAAATCAGAAGTACTCATTTTTCCTTGTGCCTGTAGTGCTATTTATTAATCAAGATCATTTTGGTGTGAGTTGCAGAGTGTTAAAGGTATAAGCCGTAGAGATGTCTGCCTTCTCTCCAATATAATGGAACTAGATGTCACTCAGCTTGTGGTGCTCAAAGTGGCAAAAATACATATGAAAAACTCAACAGCAATGTCTCTTTCCAGAAATCATGACCCGGTTACTCAAGATAATCCACAGTCCTTGTTGTGAGCAGTTTCATCTCAGGACTATTTTCTCTCTACCGAATTACACCCGCCAAGTAAGCGTGCATCTGCTGCTAGCTCACCTAGTACCACTGAGCTAGCTAACGTTTAGGGGTGGAAATCTACAGAGGCCACGCGATAAAATATTTTAATGGTACTTTAGTCATGAAATATTATTGCAATTTTAATGTTTTGCTCTATACTGAGTATTGTGATAACATAAATACCAATATATTGCAATTTACTCACTTTATTTTAACTCTAAATTATGTCCCTAAAGGAAAACTATGTCAACACCTGTTTTATCTAATAAAATATGTTTTTTTTCCCACTTCAGTCATTTGTATTGCAGCAAAATGTAACTAGTGAACTGAAAAAGCAAATGATTTTGTTGTTTTAGTTGGCTACCAAAAGTTCAATTTGTATTTGCCGTGTTAATCATTTATCTAATATTACTGCACAAAGTATCACAATCCTATGCTATATTGATTTTTCCCCCACTCCCACTAACGTTACAGCTCAGCTGAGGAAGATGTTTACATCCTGCGCATGCCTCCTGTCCATGAGTACATGCACACTTCCACCTGCACAGTGATTCGGTTGGCGGGTGTAGTTTGGTAGAAAGAAAATAGTTCAAGCATAAAACTGCTCACAACAAGGTCTGTGGATTATCTTGAATAAGCAGGTCATGATTGCTTGAAAACCAGTCAAACTTAATACAGGAGTTTCCTTTTACGGGCTCTCATGTCTTACATGCTCAAAAGAACTTGGTGGGACAACTCAGGCTTGATGACGTTTGTTTTCTCCTCCGAAAAGTCCAACTAAACTAATTCAGGATTTTCTAAGTGGTCATTTATTTGTGGTGGCCTGCCACTATATCAACATCTGCTGACACGTATTGATTTGTTATTTTTGGAGCTGGTTCATTAGCAGCGCTGTTGGAATATATACGCCATTTGAATAGCCACTTCACCACTCTTTCGGAGCACAGAGCATACTCTAGGCACAGAAGGAGCCCCAAAAAGCCAGGCACAGTGAAGGTGAAATTTAACCTCCATTGTGCTGAGTGGGAAACACTGTAATTGATTATTTGATCGACAGAAAATTAAATCTGAACCATTGCTTTGAACAAAATTACATTTTAAAACGTTACCTCCGTCTCTGGCAAACTGTCATGGACATTTTTTAACCGTTTTGTGACATTTTGTGTACCAAAAAAATGAGAAAATTGATTATTCGTTATAGCTCTAGCTCAACAAACACGAAAATAGTTTTCTGTAAGTTATAATTTGCCCGCCCATCAGCTAAAAAGCAGTTCACCCTGCAGGTACCACAGGTTCCTGGAAAACAAACATTAAGAAGATCTGGGCCTGATTGCTGTGTACTGTTTATTTTTATATCCACTTATTCAGTCCGACTCTGGTTTCGATAGTCTTCAGCTGTGATTCAGTCTGTTTAGTCTGCCACTGGTTTCCTCTAACTTTGCTGATGTTTCCGTGTGGTTTAGGTGGGGTCAAGGATTTGGACTCCTGGGCTCAATTTTTGGAAATGACAGCGCACTGAACCAACCCAACAGTGTCTACGGAATTGTCTTTTATGCCTTTCAGCTCCTTCTAGGTAAGCTGTCACTCTGTTCGGGGTCAGTGTTGCAGATTCAGGTGACAAATATCCCGAGCCATTGCATGAGCAGCACCTAGGGCTGACTCAACACTCTGCCTTCCTCTGACATTGCTGTATTTGCCAAAACCTGACTCACATGACACTGACATCATATTTCGTCACCATGTCTAAATTTAATTCTACAGTTAAACAGGATGCTTGTATTTAAAGCTCAACTGACTCAACTGCAATCAGAATTTTGGGTTGTTTTGGCTTGATTTAAATTAATTTCTGCAGAGATTTAGTGTAGTAAAAGTTATAATAAGCAATAATGTTTCTACAGAGTCATTATTTTATGTTTATCACAGTGTAATCTGACACTGATAGTTCTCAGTAATCATATGTATTTTTCCTTATGTGTGACTTGTTTTAACTGGGTCACACTCACAGTCACATTCTCCTCCCCTCAGTACGTCGATGTCGCTGCTGACTCAGTCATGCTGGTTTGACATGTTTGCCTGCCGAGTGGCCTGTAGGCTCGCCTGGCCACCTGGCGCTGGCTCAGAACAAGAGGTCCTTTTAGCCACAGCAGTTACCACTCATTTGACTAACACAATAGCAGCCCAGTTTAGCCAAACTGCTACAGCGGGTCAAGATTTCCATATTAAACGCAAGATCACTCAGTTTAAGGAGTTTCATTATTCTCACAGCCTCGGACTGTTTAATATTTGTTAGCTAGGACGACTCCAGAGTCTGCAGAGTCTGTGCAGCATGGGACTACTTGACTGTACACTTTAATGTTGGAAAGAAGCTTTGCCTTTTCATGTTATATTTTCCTTTATTTTAATTTAGTGTTATGAAGACAGTAGGGGCAGGCTATATGGATAAAATCCTCTGTCACACTTCATGTCAAAATATCATGATATAAAATCCAATTGAGAAACTGTAAATTAATTCAATAACCAGAATAACCACCAATAATGTTCTATTTTCTGGTATTGAATTTGCTGGAGTATCTAAAAACCAACTACTTTATTTATAGATAGAATCTCAATGTTTTTTTTTTACAGTAGCTTAGAGTTGAAAATCCCCACGTCACGCACATTAAAATCAAACGGTGCTGAGCAAACTTCAGAGCAAAATTCAGATTTCTTTATTTGTCATTTTTATGCTCCACATAAACACAAAATAGTGTTTCACACACGCCACCAATAAAAGCAAAAAAAACAAAACAAAAAAATGAATAAATAAGAGCAATAATAAATAAGCTAACGCTTTAAGGCTATAAGAGACTAATTAATATGAATAAAGTGCCAGTAGAAACAGTTCCATGTTCAATTGTTTAGCCACAACAAATCAATATCAGATTAAGTATTTGCAATATTTAGAATATTTTTGCCACTATACCTTGTTGTCAGACAGCCTTTTCCGACAGGGATCTGAAGACGTTATAAGTAATTTTACTTCACGGGACACGTGAGTTTTAGACACTGCCTCTATCGGGCAGTGTCTAAGGTAAAGAAAATATTCCATATATAGCATACACTTAAACTGATATTGATTATTTTAGGTGGTTAAAACACGGTTTGCTGTGTGTTTATCAAGGATGCTAGCAGAGCAACACGATACATAAAATTAGCACAGCAGAAACATCAGTTAGTTTGGACCAGCGTGTTTAACTATATATCTTTAAACGTTACAGTTACAGCTGAAAATGATAAAAGAAAAATAAGAGTTGTTTTTAGCTCAACGTGACAGTAATCCGGTCGACACAGTTTAAAGTTACAGGGACAGTGCAGGTTGAATCTGTGAAGTCTTCATTGCCAAAGATATTTTAATATAATTTTATTTATACCTCTTTTAACTTCTTTTTGTCAAAAAAAAGTTGAGCTCTTCTGTGTGAAAGTCCACACTTCTAATGTTACACATCTTTAACCCTCACACTGAACCTAATAGTGTCTTTTTACTTTACACATGCACTTACCTGTTGACAAAATGTAAATTAATGTAACTCATTATAATAACCACATTTCTACATTAAACCTTCCTCTGCACAGGACCACATACTTACCTTTATACTAACCTTTATTAATACCTGCTATACTTGAATAAAAAAACATGATTTGTCCAAAAATCTGTCTCAAATTTGGCTAAAAATTATCTTTAATAGGTCTTAAAAAAGCATAAAATGTAAGTGTCTGATAGCTGTAGACACATTTCTGTAAATGTGCCAGTTTGTGCGTTTCTGGGTCGGCGTAGTGACAGCTGCAGAAGACACATGAAACACATCAAAACACGTAAACAACACAAAAATACCTAACATCCATTTGAAAACTGTCGAGATAAAAAGTACAATCTGTTCATGATGCAGTTCTGCTCAATGATTTACGACGTTGCCCACACTGGTCTAATGCACCCAGAGGTATTAATAGTTACACGGCACACATGTTATGGAAAAATCTTTGACAGTTGACACATTTATTTCACCTCATGGTATATACTAGGATATATATATCATCCTGGTTATTTCCCATGATAAAAGACTTCTCCTGTACTGCCACAACTGTCTAAATGTGTGGTAGTGATGGATGGTACCATCTGTGTGACACCCCCAGTAGTACTTCGATCTTGTACCTTAGTAAAAAGTTGTAATACTACAATATAGGGCTGGGCGATATGGACAGAAGTTCATATCTATTTACAGTGTACGTTAATTTTTGCACATAGCACTGGAGCTACAGAGGTTTAAAGGTTTGCAGCACAGGACACTAAACTATGACATGAGTATAAAAGTATCAAGTAGGCCTAAACCCATTAGAGTCTGAAATAATTCTTTGCCTTTTAAATTAATCTAGTGCTGGAAAATGATTTAAATCTTTTTATCTATTTAGGTTATTAATCTTATTTATGCACAGAGCATCATCAGAGAGGCCGAGGGAGGGAAGGAGCAAGAGACACTTTGTCCTCGTTATAAACGTCTTGTATATAAAACGTCTGTGTTGTTGCTGCATTTTATAAAAACAGATCTGTCACCTGCATCCAGGCACTGTCTCCATATCACACAATAGACTACAACTACCAAGAAGAACGGCGACACACTATGGTCCACCTCACACACAAACTAGCAGCGCAGCGCTGGATGCACGCGTGCTGAATTAATTTCATTCATCTCACAGACTGATTTAGTGTAGCATGTGTAACATATAGACCGATGTCGCACTGTAGACTAATGAACAGACAGATTAAACTGAGGAGCAGCTCTGTGTCTCTCTGAGTGTAGATGGAGAGATTCACAGTGGTGCGTATCATGTAACGCAACTTGACCCTATATCAGTATAAATGTTGTCGAAATTTATATCTTGCTTGAAAATATATATATCAATATATCATACATGGTCGTTATGTCGCCCAGCTCTACTACAATGTAGAAAGCATTCAAAGTTCAATTAAGTACGAAAATACAAGGTAAAAGAAGGCATAATGCAGAATGGTCCTATGTTTTGGATATTAATCAAAATTCTGTCACTGCTTTGCCTATTTCTCACCCCAAATGTTTCCAGAAACATATTGTAGTGTACTGTTTAGCTGTAAAACTGAGAACGTTTATGACCTGACCACCATGTTGGAAACAGTCAAGCGATGCGCTGAGCGATGCACCGAGCACTGCCCACCTGCCGGATACAATACCATTACATCTCAGGTCTAGAAAGCCAGATTGTTAGAGGACTAATGAAATATCACAAGCACAAACACTGATGAAACTTAGCGTCAGAGTTCTGACTGCACCTCATGTGACCACAGAATAATAAGCCCAGTCTGTTCAGTGTTTGAGCTGAAAGTCATCACGAGGAGGCTGGTCACATAAATAGAGAACTGTCTGAGGAAAGAGCAGACTCATCAGGTTACTTGTGTGTTCTAAGGTTGTGCCTTTTTTCCCCTTAAGCTTTAGTTTGTGTTTCTTGCCATAGGAATGACTGTCAGTGCAATGGCCGCCCTTATTCTCATGACGACATCCATCTTGTCGGTGGTGGGTTCGCTCTACCTGGGCTACATCCTCTACTTTGTCCTAAAGGACTTCTGCATCATCTGCATCACCACATATGCGCTGAACTTCATTCTCTTTATTCTCAACTACAAGCGACTGGTTTACTTGAACGAGGCCTGGAAGCAGCAGCTTCAGGCCAAGCAGGACTAAGCTGTCGAGAACGGCAAGAAAAACAAGATAAACAAACAAAAGAGAAAAAAAAGAAATGTGACCTCTGAACATTTTGACTTGCCACCAGGAGACCTTGCTTCCAAACAATGTTTATTCTGCTGTGTGTTCAAAAAAAAATGAAGAAATTTAACTTAAATGTTGGGGCCTGACATCTCAATGTTGCAAACACGGAAGGATTTGTAAGTGAAAGGTGATTTTCTTTAGTTTCTTTTTCCTTGTTTAACATTTTATTCACTTAAGGAAGGGGCTGTGTGTGAGTGAGTGTGTCGTGTGTGTGTGTCAACCCGAGCAAGCAGATGCAGAAGGCCACAAAACAGACCGACGGAGGACAGCTCTCTTTTGAACAAAAAGGATCGCAGAATGGAAGAACACAGGACATTAAAGGGGTTTACTTGAAACGGTTAGAGAGGTCCTTTTACTGCACAGCGGATCTGCACTTAAAACTTGGAAATGAGTAAAGGGTCCCAAAAATTAAAAAAAACACTCATTAGGTCATCGTACAGTTTGCAGATAAGGTTCAATGGCTGGGTGGGGTGGAAAGGGGGGGGGGGGGGCAAAAGGATTAACATTTATACAGAGTAGTTTCTTTTCATGTTTACACTTTGTAGTACGTTTCTTTTATGAAGAGGACCACTAAAAATAAACACAGGACAATGTGAGATATTGTGTGTAGATCAGTCAGATTGTTTGTTTTGCAATTCTGTAAATAGCTGCTGAGCAATACTCCAGGCTAGATTGTGATTTTAGTGTCGACACAAATCTTTTAAGGACAAAAAATAACACCAACAAAACAGGAGAAAACATCAGTAAACATGGAACAAAATGTGGTAAAGGTCACAGTTAGGTGGGTGAAGATGTGCTCGGGACATCTTCCGTCCTGTAATCCTGGTCAGGCATGCAGTTCAGAGTTGTGTTGTTGTAAGTGGTTATTGTTTCATCTGAAGCCACCGACACAAGTCTTTTAAAACATGGGTTCTTTTCACCAAGTTTGCATAAAAGGCACCCTCACTCTTTTTTTTGTTTGTTTTTGGTTATTGTGTGAAAAGCATTCCTGACCACCACACAAGTGGGATCCATAAAGACTTATGTGCCTAAAGGAGTGTTAAGGTGAATTATCTTTCTTTTTTTTTTTCTTCTTCTTTTTTTTTTGTTAATGTTTTGGGCGTGGGTGGGCGGGCGGGGAGTAATGTCATGTTAACACCGCTTGTTGTTTTATTGTCACAGGTCCGAGGCTTTATTTTTATGATCACAGTTTTGTAAATTAAGATACCAGTGAAGTGTTTTCTCCCTCATGAGGTAGCAAAGGCTGCTACACTGTGATTGTCTGCTGAAGTGGCCTGGTGGCAGAGGCATCTCCTCATCTCGCTCTTTTAAAATGCTCCTCTGGCTTTTGTTCACCGTCCAGCCTGTATACATTTGATGTCAATTGAACAGTAACGGTGATCTTGCCAAGCTGAGTTACAGTTCATTTGCAGGATGTGAACAAAACTTGGAAAATGTCATGCTTTATTTATGTTGACATGAGCAGCAGAGGCGTTACAAAGTGTAAGATTCTGTAAGAAAACAAAAATAGTTTGTCAAGCCATATGTGGAGTTTGTGGGATTATTGCAGCGGCAGGAAAGATGTCCAGGTGATGGTTTTCTAAGGCGAACAGCTGCAGATGCTGAAGCTTTTCATGACGCGCTTGATCTAACATGGAAGGGTTTGTACAGAGGTAGATCACAGTATGGAAAAAGCAACCACAGCTTGTAGTGACTTTGCTGGAAATCCACAGTATTGTCAGTTTAGTGACAGAGTAGGGCCATTGTTTCTTTTGCATCCAGAATCCACTTATTAAAGGGTAACTACAGTATTTTCAACGTGGACTCTGTTTTCCCTGTGTGTGTGACCAAGTGACCAATGGAAACAGCAATTTTTAAATCGGACCAGTATTGGGCAACAGCGCTGCAGTCGGCAGCTGCGAAACAGCTGCAGTGTAACCCACATCGCCAGTGTACATCCACTAAAAGTGCTTGTTTTGCCAATGTCAGGCTCAGATTGTTATTCTAAGTGTCTGTTAACATTATGGAAAGGATCCCTACAGAGATAGACCTTTTTGTTTAACCAGAATAAGCCCCGAAAGCATTTTCACCAAACCCATCAGACTATCAGACATGCTAAAATGCTAAATGTTTTTATTTAAAGTGAGTCTAGTGAGTTTGGCGATGGCAATTTTGGAGATGTTTCTGGTTAAACAAAAAAATCTTAAACAAAAAAAGTGTATCTCTGTTGGGATCCTTTCCATAAATGTTGTCAGACACTTGAATGAAAAAAATTGGATCCTGTCAGTGGCAAAAACAAGCACTTTATTGGACCTAAATTGATGGTGCAGACATGCCTTGAGTGGTTACATTGCAGCCTGTGTTTGCCACTGACAGGCTCAGATTATTATCATAAATATGACATCATGGAAAGAATCCCAATCAGAAACAGCCCTGACATTGGCATCTCCAAACCCACCAGACTCCATTTAAAGAAATAGTTATTTTAGCGTGTATAGAGCCAGCATATTTTCACATCTAACTGGGTGAATTAAGGGTTCATTTCAACCAAACCAGAGCTGATTGACTGTTGGAACGGGAAATATAAACCAAGACATTTTTGTGAGTTTTAATTTGTTTCTGTCAACTTTGAATGAAATTTTTTTTTGTTATCACAGAACAAATGACTGTTTATTTAAATGGAGTCTGGCGTGTTTGGCAACAGCAATTTCGGGCTGTTTCTGGTTAAATAAAAAGGACCCTACGCTTTAACAAAAATGTAAATTCTCTTTAGAGAGCCTTTCCATATGTTGTGAACAAAAGCCTGAGCCTGTCAGTGGCAAAAACAAGCACTTCTAGTGGACGTAAACTGATGGTAGGAACATACCCCAAGTAGTTACATTGCAGCTTGTTTCGCAGCTGCTGGCTGCAGTGGTCTCGCTCAATACTGGACCAATTTAAAATACTGTTGTTCCCATCAGTCACTTTGACACAAAAACATGGGTAAATAGGGTCCAGGTTGAAAAAAACTTAAGTTACCCTTTAAAGCATCCAGATGCATGGTACACTATCTCCTGGCTTTAAGCGTATGTTGGCCATCGGACAATCTTACACACACTGTCAAAGATCCACAACAGTCTTGGTATAATAACTGTAATAATGTGATTCATGTGTGGTGTTGAACCAGCTTGTTAATAGTTTCCATCACTGCTAGTTTCCATGCCCTTTCACTTAAATAGAAGTTCTCCCTGACAGTTTTCTTTGTGGGGTGAGGGTTGGTAAAGTATTGACGATAGCAACTGCCAGGAAAGTAATCTAAGAAGTGACATCGTGCTTCCTGTGATAACATATGAAGTCACTGCTTGTCTATGAAAATGGAAATTTAGTTGTTTTTTTCCCCAGGATAATGTCAAAATGAAATTGTCTGTTCATTCGTGTTGTAACCAATTTACTACTTATCATATAAAGGCTGTGTTACATTATTATTACCCATTTTCCAAAGCATAATGTGCATTGTATATTTGATATTGTTTTTCCTACATACCAGGCTCACAATGGTTTCCATTCATATAAGATTTCATTGATACCAATCCCGTTATCGATTCTACTTATTGAGCTGGTTCTTTATGGATTCCCTTACTGATTCCTGATCAGTCTTCTGTGTGGAAAAGAGGCCTCTACAGGTTTTCAGCATCAACACAACTGCTTTATTGTAAATTTGTAAACCAAAAATCTGCTTGGCCCTCCTGCTGGCGCTAATATTACTATCATAACAGGATTTTTACCCTCGGTAACGGATGTGCTCCTCGGTTGGGAAGCAGTGGCACTGATGCGTAGAGTGTCAAATATGTGGGATTCCTGTAATTCAAGCCCATGTTGCATCGAAGGATGTTTCAGCATTGCGCTGGTGTTTCCACCCTTATTTGAAAGTCTAATTTTACAGACAGCAGCACTGTTGTCATCTGTCTTCGTGAAATAAAGCCACACTTTGGAGCATTTCTTCCTCTCTGATACGACTCCCTGTTGCAAGTTTCCAGCAGCATAGATGCACAAGTTTGAGGTCATTATTCTGCTGTGTGCAACTGTCAGAAAAAAAACATGCCGGCATCAATAAAAGGAGCTGATAAGGAGGGATATGATTCGGGTGGATTGGGCAATTTGTATTAGATTCTTATCCCTATGTCAGTGCTTGACCATTGGGTTACAGATTAACTGATAAATGTAATAAAGTTGGGCAGCCTGCAAGCCAAGCCTAGACTTCAGTTTCACTCTTACTTGAAGGAGTAGTCCACTAATTTACCATACACTCCTATAAAATGTATTCAGTGCTATATCATATGTATCGCATTACCAGATTCTTGCCAAAACACAGCTTGTACATACCTACAAGAGATTAGTCAAAATGGCACTTATAGACAGAATGTAATTTAATTTATTGTAACTGCAATCAAAGTGGCCCCCTGCTGGCTGTATAGGTCATAACCCCGCCCCCTCCGTGCTAGAAGATGGGACACAGGCTGTAAAATTTTTTCCCCCAAAGATGGTTCCTGTCATTTTCACGTTGATATATGTTCAAGTGTTCATTTTTCTTGTAAGTTTGGTTTTAATTAGTTATTTGATGCAATGAAAAGTGGGTACAGCGTCATGTTTGACAGCTGTGTGTGCCAACTGGTGGGCTCATGATCAATGGCGCAACTCGTGATTGGGTTGGACAGGTTGCAACCAAAGTGGCTGCACCACTTCCTGATCATGACTGTGCAGACTCTGGCTCCAAATGACAAAGATGGCAGTGCCTGTATCTGGGATATTTGGCTTCATTTTGTGGAGACACATTGCCTGTCTTTTTATACAGTCTATGTTTTTTATGTCATACAGAAATGAATGGGAACCAATGGCTGCCTGGAAGAAAAACTCATTTAAAACACTAAGGTTTGCTTTGGAAAATGGTTAACAGTTAAGCTGCATGATTGGTAGTAAACTGGCAAAAACATGTGCGCACCAGTACAGTCCTATTTAACAGACTGTATTGAATAATTTAAATGTTTGCATCATTCCTTAGCAAGTTAAGACCTTCATTATACAGTATTGCCTTGTCGGGCTTACATCAGGTTCTTTTTCGTCTAATGACATTAACAACTGTTTTGTCTTTGTCCTTTGTCTGGGAAAACCTGTGCACTCAAGACAAGTCTCCTATGGATTCACTTGCACAAGTCAAACTGACATAATTTTTGTGGCAACAGCTCTGGGTCCTCCTGTGAGTATCGACCACAGAACTGACGACAGTAGGTAGCCTATCATTCATGAGTCCAGTCATATGCAAGCCTATTATACTAGCTGTGTGCAGTTACTTTAAAGAAAATGGTTCAGGAATTTGGATGTCGAGTCAAATGTTTGAAATCTTTGGCTGGTAACACGTGCTGTGTTGACGATTTTAATGTGGAAAAAGAAGGTCAAAACGATCGATAATGCATTCTCATAAATACTCATTTAGGCCCTGAGGTATAACTGCCATGTTAGTTGCATCACCAATGCCAACAAAAGTGCCTTCTGTTTGATCACTAGGCCTTGAGCCAAAGACGAGCAACAGTGATAGCCTTGTAAAATGAAGAATGGTAACTGTAACAGGCACTTCTGCTTGCCTTCCTCAAAATGTAATCTGATAAATTGGTCATTCCCAAACATCTGATGTCCAGTATATATCGGTGCAAAGATCCATTCAGAAGTAACCAGACAAAACGCCCTGTTAAAATCAATGGTCATTCCCTTTTTTTCCTTCCTGAACTCCACCATATAATTATTTTGTCTAGCTAGGACATGTTTGTTAGTTGAGAATACACTCTGTTCAAACTACATGATTGTAATGTTCTTTTTTCATCATTAATTATGCCCTTTAGCTGTATAGACTGTTAACATTCTGGGTTATTTTAGTAAAAAAAAAACTTAAAAAGTTGAGGGGTTGGAGGGCTAGGAATCCATGTGTCAGCATCAAATGTTTATTAAATTTCTTTGTGGAGGAAAACTTACTGGGTTTGCTTCTGTATTGCCAAATATGTTTTAAAATGCTGTATTTTCTTACATGGAAAAGTGTTACATGAATGGTAGGAGGGTGCAAAAAAATTAATCTGTTCAAATCCATCTTACCTTAAGGGAAAACTGTGGAAAAGGTTGACATGAGAACATTTTTAATTGTGTCATTGTCATGTGAAAAATGATCTACCATTAAAACATTCCCTCTGAAACTACCTGTCATTTTACGTTATTTGAATTAAATGAAATGCTTAAAGTAGAGTGACTAAACTGAACGAGTACCACTGCTGTGGAACAATTTTGTTGTGATTGGGAACATGCCATCTTGCAATGGCCAGCAAGAACAAGAGGGATGAAAAAACAGTTTCAAGATACATATGGCGACTCTAGCGTCAAAAACCATCACATCCTACAGTTTTCACAATGTAATTGACATTTTTTCAACCTGGATCCTGTTTCCCTGTGTTTTTGTGTCTATTTGACTAATGGGATCAACAATTTTTGAAACTGGTCCAATATTGAGCGAGAGCACTACAGCCAGCAGCAATGAAAACATGCTGCAGTGTAACCACGCAGGGCATGTTTGCACTATCAGTTTACATCTTCTAGAAGTGCTTGTTTTGTCACTGACAGACTTAGATTGTTACTTTAAGTGACAACATTATGAAAGGGATCCCTACAGAGACAGACCTTTTTGTGAGAGTAAAATCCTTTTTGTTTGACCAGAAACAGCCCCGTTATCATTAATCCCATCATGTAATATTTTAATTTTTCTCTTGTTATTTCTTCTTTTGCCTGCCTCAGGGACTGCAGATGGAAACTAGCTAAAAAGCTATAATCTGGTGCAGTGCATCTTTACTCTGTTGAGTCCAATGTTCTCTGTACATGGTCCCTGATAAAAAAAATAAACGAATAAAAAAAAAAAATCAGATTCCATCTAAATAAACAGCAATTTTATCATCATAAAACACTTAATTCAAAGTCAACAGAAACAATATAAGGGTGCTTTCACACCTGCCCTCTTTGGTTCGGTTCAATTGAATGCAAGTTAGTTTGCCCCCTAAGTGTGTTGTTTGGGCAGATGTGAACACAGCAATCGCACTCGGGTGAGCTCCAAAACAACCGGACCGAGACTTTCTTGTGGAGGTGGTCTGATTACAAGCGAACTCTGGTGCGGTTCGTTTGTGGCGACCTCGATCTTAACCAACTGCAGTCACATGACACATTGTTTGGGTTAAACATGAACATGTTACAGTCCTGGAGGATTATTAATGTGCACCTCCTCCTGTACTGCCTTAATATGCACATTCAGCACATCCAATGCATCAAAACATTGTTTTCTAGTTGGAGCCGCGCCTCGTTTTCAAACTGTATGCTTTGACTAAAATGAACAATGACAGAAATATAGTCCACGATGAGCAGCGCTAAAATCAACCTGCATAGTTGTCCCTCCATTGTGACATTAGAAAGTGTCACATTTATCTTTCAAGTGTACTCTTCTTCAACGTTTTGTTTACTTCATCAAGAGCAGCTTTCTCATGCAGGCTTTTAAACTGGTCCCTTGTAAATGCTGCTGTGAGAACACGAACCAACTCTAGGCAAAACAAATTTGTAAAAACAAACAAAACGGAGTTCAACGCTAAGGTTTTTTTTCACTTGCCCGGTCGGGCAAGTTGGTCAGAGATCTACTTGCCCGAAGTCAGTTTTTACTTGCCCTATAAAAATTGTTTAATTTAAGCGGCTATCAAATAACAAAGACTGCAGTTATTTTTATGTTATATAATCTTTATTCACACTGTATTTATTAATTAAAACAACATAAGTCATGTATTGTAGCTTAATTCCTACACAAAAAGGGCTTAAAGTGAAAAATTTGTCAATCGTTCCCCGTCTATAATTTTGCGCCCTACTTGAGCCATGCCCACCTCTATTTATTTTTCACCCCTCTTTCCAGTTCTGCTGTATTAACACCGGGTTTAATATATTTTTGCTTCCATCTGTCTGCACTGCTCTACTGTACTTCAACGCTACTTTGCTCTCTCTCTACTCTACCAGTAGACTACCACATCCACCTGTTGCACAAAACGCACACAGCAGTGTTTCCCCTAGGATGGAGTTGTAGCAGCGGAGGTGAAGCACACGCATGAAAAATAATTTTCACATGCGTGAAACTTTTTTGTATGCTTGCAAAGCACAGCCTGTTGGGATGTTTCTATGTATCTGCTGGCACCAGAAGGGCTCTTTAGGACTAAGTACATACAGTACATGTGTGCACAGTAATGAGCAGGTGAAATGTCTGTCTAGCTTACATATGAGGTGTCTCAAGATTTAGGAACATACAATTTTATTTAATATAATAAAGTAAAAAGACACTTGACATGCTGCTGTTTTGTGCTATGACCTATTTAAGTGTTGGAAGTTGTTATTTACGTGACAACACCTGAACGCAACACAAGCGCTGCATGAGTGCCGTGCTGAGCTGCTGTGCGAGCAGCGTGTTTGTCTGTGCATAACAGCAGTCTGTTGGTTATTTACACACTGTCCATTTCAATAACTTTGTCAGCTGACAAACTGCACCGGGTGAAGACGGAGCACTTTCACTGGACGTAAATTGGAAATTGGGAAAAATTGGGACGTAGATGGACTAGTAAATCAAGGAGGCCCCGGGGCTATGTCTAAGCCTGTCAGTGTCAAAAACAAATACTTTTGGTGGATGTAAATTGATGATGCAAACATGCCCCAAGTGGTTACATTGCAGCCTGTTTAGCTGCTGCAGTCTGCAGTGTTTTCCCACAGTACCGGACCTATTTCAAAAATTGTAATTAGGTAGCAATTTAGCTAAAGTAACCCCCTACATCAGACAATGCTTGGGTTTTTAGTACTTTGAATATCATTTATTTAAGTTTTTATTTTTACACTTATTTACATCTACGAATTTTCAGAAACCTAAGCCATATAGATTTAATAAGGCACTGAAGGAATCAGATTCATCAACAGGAAAAACTACTGGCTGCAAATGCAATAAAATGCTATTGAACACCAACCATATGTGACAGAGGATATTAAAACTAAGTACACAGTATCTCTCCGGCTGCCAAGTGAACCATGTGTCTGAACCCTGTGTCACTGTGACTGATACAGATTCAGTTCATTAGATTAATGTCTTAAGGAAGTTGTTCAAAGCACTGTGTGTTAAATGACTCATTAATCTCAAGTTGTGCAACAGTTATTGTGTAAATGGCGAGTACAGCTGGATCAAATCTATAAAAGCATCACAAATACTAAAAGGACTGTTTTTATTGCTTTTAAAATGTCAGTGACATCCTGTGAATGTTTACTGCTCTGGTGGCTACTGTATGTCAACAAAAAATCTATTCAGTATTCGTCCAGCTGTTACATGAAGGTTGGTGGTGTGATGAGGGAGCATGCAGAGTCACTGATAGTAAAAAATTGTATGATTACAGTCACGCCACCATCAACAACCAACACGAACCTAACCCTTTAGGTGCGTGCTGAGTTTTTGAGAACATTCAGTCACAGTGACTTAGAGGAACAGCACAAAGGCTGCTTAGTACAAAACTAACGTCAGGAGTGCTTTGAAAAATAAAAAATGTTTGCATATTGGGTCCATGTTTTGTCTTTAATAGCTTGATTCATATCAAAATTTCACATATAAAAATAAAACACTTCTATGATTAGGTTCAGCATTGCGATTCACATCAACATGTATTAAGTATCCTTGGGAAACACTAAAACTCCCCAACAGTTTTTATATCAAACTACTAAAACACTGAAAATAATCCCTCAAACAAACATATGGAGGAAAGGAAAATAGTACAGTGTCTTTGTATTTTGATGTGCTGTCTGTGCCAGGTGTAACTCGTATCAGCTAACTGGAGGACAGCCAATCACCTATGAAGGAATTTGATTGGTATGTGACCTTGACCTTTTTATGATATCAATGGAAAGCACCGCCTCACAGATGTGTATCAGAGTGTCCTGTAATAAAGTGTGACACCATCAGTCAGGTGTATCCTTGGAAGCCATATCACAAGTATGATTATTATTAGAAAATGTGGATTTCACTATTGATGGTGCATTCACATGAATTCAGGCAGATGGAGAACCCTTTCTGGATGGAATAAACGACAAAACGGAACATGCGTGACGATATGTTGCTATGATGATGTATTGTTAACAAAGAATGAAATAAAATATATCAGGTTAAATTAAATTATTTCGTTATTATTTTATTCTATTTTTCTGTTAATATTATATTGCAAACTGAATATTATCATTAAAGGTTCTGTATGTAATTATTTATATGTATTGTTTGTTTTTTATTGCTGATGGGTGAACAGGTTTTATTGACCTTAAAAAAACGAGACTTTCTTTGTTGCCCATAGCAACCTGAAGACTGACTTCTATGTAAAGGACTCGGGACAGATTTTCCAGGAAAATCCAAACAATGTGACATCTATGCGCGTTCCCGTGTCTTAACTCTCTTCAGCTCCGCTACAGCACTAATGTGAGCTAAGAAATGAAGTGTGCTAACGTCAATAAACGGCTGGCACTCACCAAAACACAGAGTCCACACATGCTATGTTTTCATTTTAGCAATTTTGCAGCAGCGGCCTGGCAAAGACGGATCTTCATTTAGTACCTTGTAGCAACTAAAATTCAGCCAGAGCGTGACTGAGCAGCGGGGATTTGACCAGCTAATTTTCTGTTGCTGCCATTACATGGGATAGGCCGCTGGCCACCGGCTTGCTGTGAACCTTAGAGTTGGCTGAATTCATGTTCCTACAGCAGCTTAAGTCTGAGCTGCTGCTCACTCTCCTCCCAGGAAAGTAGTGTCCTTGTGGCCGGGAGTAAGGCAGGGGGTATCAGGCTGTGCTCGCTTGCTAATTTTTGTCTTACTTGTAGTCTGAGAAACAGTAAATCCATCATATGTCACTGCCTTTCATGAGGGAGCTATGTAACGTCCACTTGTAATTTCTGTTGTGGAGGACAACAGTTAAAATATTTAAACTTTGGACATCAATGCTGTCTGCTGTTGTTGCCAGTATTCTTTGCCAGCCTCACCTATCACGCTGCTCTCGTCCATTAAATTGATATCCTGTTTGTCGTCTACAGTCTGTCTGATTCCTTGTGAATGCAGCATGATGAGGCACTAGACACCAAATTTGATCAGCACCAAAAAATTGCTTTTATATTCTGAAAATATTCCATATTTGTAGTTTATCTTGTATTTGTAGACCATAAGAAAAGCAAAACTAAATGGTGTTACATGGTAGTTTGGTCATATGTATACACACTGAAGTGTCTTCAAAGGAATTTTTCAGAATGTGCTGAACTGCCTCGAGAAATTAACAACCTTTTTCCATGAGGCACAGTGTTTGTTTACATGGGATCAAGCCTGTCCTGGGATGGGCGCTCCAACCTGCGGGTGTCAGAGTGGGCAGGGGTACTTGGTCCACGGAGGTAGTCTCCTCGTTTCATTTGCCAGTCTCCAGTATCTCTCCTTCAGGATGAATGCTGCTGCTTTGGGCTGCCGCTGTCTGGTGAATACACCCTTCTTGTTCCCCACCACACGAGTGATCCCTGCAGAGACACAAGCGGGATCAACGAAAACCTCGTCATGCACGGGGAACAAATACAGAGGAGCCTTTTAAAATATTATGGAACAAAAGAAACCTGGTAATAATTATCCCTGTATGATTCTAACATTATCAGGTTACTGATCCTCGGTGCAGGAGTGTCTTTGACTTGTGTTTTTTATGTTTTACAGCTCAATTGTGCTGCATTGTGTCCTGTGATTTTCTGTGTAGTATTTCCTATAATATCCATAGAGAAAGGAGTTCAGTGAGAATCTGCTATAGGGGGTCGAACAGGATTTAGTCAGACTCTATTTAATCTTAGCATTAGCCACACACCCTCCACCCAGCAGCATGAAAGATCTATACAATCAGCACAGTTTCAAGGTGGACACCCAAGATTAGTGTCACCAGTTCAGGTCTGACCAAATGTCTCCCCCTCTGTTCCTGAGTTATGACGTTGAAAGATGGCCAGAAAAGTGTTTATGCAGAATATTATGATGTCACAGTGAAGTTGAACCTTGACCTTTTGGATATGAAGTTATTAATTACATCCTATTAGACATCTGTGTGAACTTTTGTCATATTTAACGGAGGAAATCTTGAGTCATGGCTAAAAACATGTTTTGTGAGGTCACAGTGACCTTGACCTTTGACCACCAAATTGTAAACAGTTCATTCTTGAGAGCAAGATGACATTTGTGCCAAATCTTAGGAAACTCCCTCAAGGCCTTCTTAAGACAGTGTGTTCAGGAGAAAGAGACGGATGCAAGGTCACGGTGACAGTGACCTTCGACCACCGCCTTCTTAAGACATTGCGTTCAGGAGAAAGAGACGGATGCAAGGTCACAGTGACATTGACCTTCGACCACCAAATTCTTATCAGTTCATTCTTGAGTGCAAGATGACATTTGTGCCAATGTTAAAGATATTCACTCAAGCTGTTCTTGAGATATCACATTCACAAGAATGAGACATACGTGGGGTCACAGTGACCTTGGCATTTGACCTTCAACCACCAAATTCTAATCACTTTATTCTTGAGTGCAAGATGACATTTGTGTAATTTGCAAGTCAAAAAAGTTGCAGTTTGTTGTAACATCTGGTAAAGGACTGTGAAAATATGTAATTAGAACAACTACATGTCCAAAAGTCCTGTGAGTGACATCATAACTTTCTCTTTAGCTGAAGCTACAGTGCTTGTGTGTTTGGCACAGAGATGTAGGCTCCTCACTCCAGCTGGTGGCGCTGTAGGTGACCGCCAAAAAACACAGCCCTGTCTGTATCATTAACAGAACCCTCAATATACTGCAGGGAAATAAATGGCAGAATTCACTCAGCACATTAACAGGATTCATTGTATAGAGTAAGGTCAACGACAGCCATTCTGGTTCTACAGGTTATGTTGAACTCCAGATGCAGGCAGTACCTTGTGCAGTCAAGAAGTCAGCAAAGTTCCAGATGAGTTCACCAATGACATACTGCTTCCTCTTCTGGTCCAACACGCTGTGGTAGCTCTGCAGCACGACCTTCTGGTATTCCTCAGAAAACATCACAGGTGGATCCTGGAGAGTGAACAGAGAGCTTCTTAACCCTGACGTTAACACGTTTCTGGGGAAATGTGTTGCAATCAGAAACACTGAGACTGATGTGGGAAGGCTGAGGTTTAGAAAAATCTGGAGTTAAATGAAGAGTGTGTGTGTGTGTGAGAGTGTGTGTGTGTGAGAATCCTCACACTGTGGAGTCCAGGCACTGCGTCTGCTCCGTATTCGCTCTGGATGATGGGTTTCTGGTACTTTCCATACCAGTTCTCAAACTGAGAGTTGAGCTGGATGGGGATGACCTCCAGGTGTCCTGGGTCATGGTACCAGGAGAAGTAACTGTTCACACAGATTACATCCACATAGGGAGCCTAGAGACCACATAAGAGACAAAATATGAAACCCATGACATTCTTGTTGGTAAACACAGTTTGAACATTTCTTTATGAGTATACATTAAAAAAAAAGATTGTGCTAATAACCCGTTTTATTGATTAATTTATTAATTCATAGTGAAGCATCAGATTTTCTAGTAGCAGCAATCACCCGTAATGGGGCTAAATGCGAACCATTCATTCCACAACACCAGAGTGAATGTTTTTCCCCCGTATTTTCCAATATTACGAACTATAGAGCAGGGTCTTTATCGTCATTCATTCATTTTCCGTAACCGCTTATCCTGTTAGTGGTCACGGGGGCTGGAGCCTATCCCAGCTGACACTGGGCAAGAGGCAGGGTACACCCTGGACAGGTCGCCAGACTATCACAGGGCTGACCTACACCCCTGCATTCACCTTAGGGGGTCCCCCACCTATAAAGGGGTGTCTCCTGCCTTACCTCTCCCCCTTTTGCTGTTGTGCTCCATGGGAGAGGTAAGCGACAGTACGATCGTAATATTTTGTGTGTTTTAGCGCTGTTAAGCTGTTTATAAGTTTATTTTATGCTAACATAATCCTGTGTCACTTAATTTGTGTAGGGGCTGGCGTTTGTATGGTTGTGTATGATGGAGGATTTTTGTTTTCACCTCTTGTTGTCAGCTGTCAGGAATAATACTTTCAGTTAGCTGGCAAAACTCAAGGGAGACACAGGACACGTCACACACTGACGCATATTAGAGCTACGTTATCTCAACAGCTACAGATAACAAATTTGCCGTTATCTTAAATTGGGTGGAAAGTTATACCCGGAAGATTACTGTGACAAATTAATTTCACACAACAGAATCCCATGACTTTTCCAGGCCTGTGAAATTCCATGACTTTTTCAGGTTTTCCATGACGGTGGGAACCCTGGATAGTGAGAACTTGTGAGGCAGAGAGACACTGTAGTGCTGCTTTTCTCTCCACAGTTAAATGTCTTGTTTATTTACAATTAGATTATATTATTGAATTAAAATATATGTTGACAGCCCTGATACATCGCAACTGAAAAAGGAAACTGCATGACTTCCTATCAACTCTTGTGACACTAAGCCAAAGAAACTGAACAGAATTAACATTCAAGGACATGATGCTGTTGTATTTCTGAGATATTACACCTGGCCCTAACAAAAAATAAATTAAAACAACTGTAAAACTAAATATTTAAAAACCAAATCCCTCTGAAAAACTAAACTAAAATTAGCAAACACTCTGAAAGCCAATTAAAACCAAACTAAAATGAAAAGTTACAACTAAAATAAAAAGAAAACTAACTGAATTCAAGACTTTTAGAATCTTGCAATGGAGTTTTCTCACATTAGGCCATGAAATAGTGCAGCAGCAGTAACTTTTCACAAGTTCCACAGTCTTTCGCTCTGAGGTGAGTAAATAGTGGCTGCAGGTAGTCGGGGACTGTAAACTAAATAATACTTTTAAGCCGCAAAGTATGCCCTGGAAGAGATTCCACAAAGCACAGGAATGTGAGGCATGTCAACAAGTAAGTCAACAACCTCTGAAGCTCAGTGAGACAGTTTGACAGTTTGACTCTTCCTCCTTTAGTCTTCATCAGGCTGTTATATTAACATACAGTCATGGTGAGTGTCATGATCTGACTTGCTGTACTGAGAGACACAATTTTGCTCTTCTTTTCTGCAAATGTTTCTTCACCCTACATAACCTTGAGACTGACAAGTCGCGACCTGTCATTCAGGAGAGGCGTAGCAATGTGTTATCATGGCACTGTGTACATTTAAACAGCTGTGAACCTGTTTTTGGGTGTTGCCCCTGTTTTTGTCTTTCAGCTTTGACCCTTTTACAGTGTGTTCTCAGGTCATCAATGTTAGTTGTAATATTTTGGTCTCACTCACTCTCAGAAGTCAGCTGTTCATTTTAAAACCTGTTTTCGCTACCCAAAATAACATCCTGATTATGAAAGCACTTTGTTAAAAGCTAGCTACCTTGATCTCCTCGCCACTTTCTCCGCCCAAACATGGTCCCCTCTGGCGCCAAAAAACAAAACAAACCCAGTAAACCCTGCTAACATTGTGGCGAGAGGTGGGGTTAACCCTGAAAAGGTCACCAGACAATCCCAAGGCTAACACATAGAGACAGACAACCATCCACGCTCACATTCACACCTACAGGCAAATTTTGCATGTCTTTGTAGAGGGGTTTCCCCGCCCAAGGGTTCAAACCAGGAACCCTCTTGCTATGAGGCAGCAATGCTAACCACTGCACTACTGTGCCACTCTTCTTTTACACAGTCTACAGCCTAGCAGCTAGCAATCTTTTCCTCTTCTCATATAAAACCAGGGAAAACAGCAACATTTAACAAAGGTAACGGTACATAATTCGGCTTAATTGCAACTCACAAGGTTCACTGACAAAACAACTGTCTTATACTTAACACATTTTCCAGACAAATACAACATGCTAACATTATAAGCACAAGCAAGCACAAAACAAACATTTTATTATAGTGTCGATTCAATGTAGAAGCATAAATTCCGCATTAAACGTTCTTGCTAGCACCACTAGCCATGCTGAGTCTGCTAACAGTGCTAACAGAGCTAACAGTGATAACGCAGTAAACAAAGCTCAATGGGGTCTATGGCAAACACTGAGCTGCTTAAACATCTGGGTGACCTAGGGGGGAGACAGGAGGGTGGGCACAGTGTTTCCACAGCATCGCTATTGTGTTTAGACAGTGCTAGTGGTAATGGACGAATGAACAGCGCCGCAAGCTAGCTACCACCAGACGCAGTGCGGTAAACTAAAGAGCAGCAAAATTAACCCGGAGACCAACAATTAATGGGTAACCTTCACATCCCTAATTCATATGCAGATATCTGTATATAGAGATTAGCGGATATGTCATCTGGACCTGCCTCAAGTTGCTTATTGAACAGCGCACAAAGAGGAATTCCTGGCCTGGTTATCTGTTGGCTACTCAGGAACCCCTGATAGACTAGCGTTGCCTCCAGACATTAATTGTTGTCAGACCAATAGCCAAAGGGTTTAGAGATTAGCCAGAAAAGAACCAGTGCTGTCAAGCAAATGTTGCATTTGACATTTGCTAATTTATGTTAAAAACTTAGTGAAAAGTTTTAGCATCAAACCTTAAAACATGAGCTGTTAGCATCTCACATGTTCTGCCAGCCTTATTGTAGTTTAAATGACTTTGAAAGTGACTTAACCCTGGACTGTAAAGCAGTGTTTAGCCTACGTGTTAAGCTGTTCTCTGTCTTGGTTGGAAGTCTCCAGTGTGTTTCACCTCTGACACAGTGAGCATGACTGATGGGAGTGGCTGGGTGTGCGCTCTGTTGGCCTGTAACCACACCCAACATGATGGTAATGTAACTGACCATGTGACACACCCCGAAGGATACTTCTATATCACTTGCATTGATGAAAATAACTTCTACCAGTGTGTTGAATGACAAACATGACAAATAGTTACTTCCTCATAGTGTTGATACTGTTAAAACTCACCCCTCTGTCTCTGGCATAGTTACTGTCTGTGATGTAAGTGACAGGCCTGGTTGGATCCAGATCTCTGGTGTGTTTTATCAACGTCCTGTAAGAAAAACAAGAAGCACCCCGAGCTGTTTACAAGGTTTATATGATGATGGTGTTATATAATCACCACAATGACACAAAGAGCTAACTGCAGCTTTGTCTGTTATAACTTCACTGTGACACAGCACGTCTGTGTTTTAATTATGTGTACGCTTTGTTCTCTAACACACCCCGTACTGCCCTATCTGATAGGTACTTGTAGTCAGGCAGGTCGAGTATTTGTTTTCCTGAGGCCTCGGGCTGTTACTGAGCTCTAGCTTCATGACTATTCTTATTGCATTCCACATATCAGAGTAAAGGGAGAGGCTGCGGCTTAATAACAAACCAATACCTCGCACTCTCTCACACACAGTTTAAAGCTTTAAAGCTGCAGCACTAAACTTTTGTCTCCCCCCTCTGGCAGTGAGAAGAATTACACTAACGCTGTCGATGTATGATGATTATGATGTATGCCTTCAGGTGAGCTTGCTGCATCTTCCCCGTCTCCACGAACGCTCTCTTCAGGTCTTCCAGTGCAAATATTTTGCATTTAATCCTTAAAATTAATCCATCTTATTTGTTTTTTATTAGGAATATCCACTCCATTCACATTAGGCTCTGCGGTATCACGGTATTACTGTATACCAGGGTGTATACAATCCATTAAGTATGATTTTCAATACCATAAAAAATACAGTCACCCCTGTTTCCATTAAACTTATGGATGGCGCAGCAAACAAATACCGTCATATACCGTATACCCTGCTGAAACTTCAGAAAAGTATGAAGGTATGACAAAATGGTTACCACTCGATCCTACTTCACATCTGAACAAAAGGACCATCACTCACTTGAAATAGAATTCAGCAGGGGGCATCTCTGCAGCCGGCTCATTGGCTACCGACCACATCACCACAGAGGGATGGTTCTTGTCCCGACGTACGAGCTCGTCCATGACGTCTAGGTGATGGGCCAGGGAGGCATTTCCAAAACTGCGACTACATCAGCAACAAAAGGCACAGCACACAGTTAGTTAAAATCTTATGGAAAGTTCAGCTGAAGCTTCAGCAGCCTGCGTTAGTCAAATCAAGACGGTATCTTCCAATATGGTATGGTCAGTATGGTCTTGAGATCAACTTGTCCTTTAAACATTCATCTCTTGAAAATGGATGTTTTGGTATCATCCAGGTTCCCACACATTTTCATGGACAAAATTTAAAAACTTTTCCAAGACTTTTCAAGGACCCATCATTTTTTTCTTGCCAAATGTATCAAATTCAAACTCTATTCAAACATAATTTCAGTTAGCTGGCATGGAGGGAGGGATCGAACGCACAGAGAAAATGATGAAACGTACGTGATGGTAAAAAAAAAAAACAACACACACATTTTAGAGGTATGTTACGTTATCATCAGCAATAGAAAATAAATTGGTCGTTATGTTACATTACGTGGAAGGTTATTCTCAGTAGATTGCTGCTAGCTTTTCATTACACAACACAACAAAAGTCCATGACTTTTCCAAAACTTGCAGTGATTTGTTATAATTCCATGACTTTTTTCAGGCCTGGAAAATGTGATTGTGGAATTCCATGACTTCCCCAGGTTTTCCATGACTGTGGGAACCCTGTATTTTTTGACACAAGTAAATGACAAATCAACATGTCTACAGTTGTGCTAGCATCTAAGTGAGGCTGTCCTCAGGCAGTGTTGTTTTGAGCTAACTGCTAACATTAGCATGCTAACATGCACTTAATACAGTAAAGTACAGCGCAGGCCTGTCAAATTACAATTTTGACCTAATTGTACCTTATTTTATAATGCAATTAGCTATCTTTTTCACCCAATTCCAAATCCCAGTTATTCAAAAATACTTTATTTTCAATACTCTGTATAGAATATGCATCTTTAATCACGATGCATTTTCCAAATTAAAGTCCCAAAAGTAGACTGTGTGCAGACTTTCATAATCACTGGATCTGGGTGTGTCCAGTCTGTAACTTAGCCAGGATTTCTTTCAACATGACCCGTTACTGTGTTACACAATCCTAACTTAGACAGGGTGGAGTTTCTTGAATATCAGTTTTGTTGCTCTAATTTAACAGGTTGTTTCTACATAAGTTCAGAGAGGCAAGTGAGAGGAAAACAAATCTGGTGATCTATTTTTTAAAGTCTGCTCTAAATGATTTTCTCTCCTGTGTTCATGACTCTGAAGATCAGATGGAAAAAAGTTTTTGCCAGGATCATTTTTTTGTTACTTTTTCAATCTGTGAAAACAAGTGAGAAAAAAAGTTTGCAAGTAAAATTTTAAGTGCTTGTTGTAATACTTATTTTGGCCACAAGATGCTGAATGGCACCACCACTCCATGTTCAAAGTAAAAAGCATTCATGTTTTCTTCCAGGTGAGTTTTAATTTCTCTGTAACATTACTGTCACGTCTTTCTTTTGTCTGGAAATCTTTTTTAATCTGCGCTTATCTGCCATTGTTAATGGCAGATAAGCCAAAAAAAAAAAAAATCATAAACACAGGAGAAGAAACAATTCGGATTAGACTAAGAAAATGGATAACCAGAATTTTCTGTTTCTCATTTGCCTCTCAGGGCCTCTGTAGTTTTCACAACGTAATGGACACCACACAGAAGTCTCTCTACTGTGACTAACAGATGTTCACACTCTGAACCCTCAAATGCACCAAAAGGTGGCAGAAATGTGAACTTACATGTCTTTGATGCCCACCCCTGGGCACTCATCTATCACTACAATGCCGTGGCGGTCACACATCTGCAGGATCTCTTCAGCGTACGGGTAGTGACTGGTGCGGAACGAGTTCGCCCCCAACCACTTCAGTAAGTTAAAGTCCTTGACGATCAGGGGCCAGTCGAAGCCTTTACCTCGAATCTACAACACAAAGTAAACAGAAGATCGGATTATTGAACTGGATCCAATTTTTTAAAAATCAAAATTCCTATCTGTTATCAGAAATGAAACGTCCATGTGACTGAACTCAGGTAAAGTCTTTTGGTACAGGTTTTGCTTCCCTCTTGTGGTACTCACGTCAGAGTCCTCATGCTTATTGACTCCATGGAAGTAGAAGGGCTTGTTGTTGATGAGGAACTGTGTGCTGGTGACGTTGACCGTGCGGATGCCGACTGGTAGAGTGTACACATCCTCATATGTTGATCTCTCATCAGCTGCCATTAAGCGAACCTGGGTGTTAAAGTACAAATGTCAGAAACATCTGTTAACACTGTTAAAGACGAGGTTGTGATGACAGTGCAAAAAATATCAGGTAAAGACGAAAAGTGAAAAAAACTACAAACATATTGTTACGTATCAACCAGAAAGTTTTAAAAATCACACAGTTTATGTATTTTTTATTATATTTTTATTTATTTATTTATTTATTTTATAAACATTGAATTATCCTCCTGAATTTAGCTTGAACACAAAGTGGAGAATATATTCTTGGTCCTGGAGGTAAATATGCTGCTGAGTGCATTAAACACTGTTTACACTAATAATGGGCAACTATAATTAATAATAAATTATTCTATCTCAAGCCAACTGCCTTATTACTCTCACAAATCTAGTGGCAAATACATGAATGAATAAATAAAAAATAAATAAATGAATTTAAAAACGACTAATTATATATTTTATATACACAGGTTTTAAAATAAATTAAAAATAAATAATTTTTTTAAATGGATATTTGCCCCTCTGTTTACGAAAATAAATCGGCCCACAAATTTTGTTTTAAAAATATCTCAGTCCACACTAGAACATAAAACGACCCCAAACGCTCACCGGTGATTTCAGCAGTCTCCCCTCGTCACAAAGATAGTTCAGTGTCAGGCTAACCTTTTTGAAAACAACAACAACTGGAAATCTCATATAAAATTAAAAAATTATAAATATATATACAAATTTTAAAGTAAATAAAAAACAAATAAATGTAAAAATTAATTAAAATAAATAGAAGCAAAAATTAAATAGGAAAGTAAATTAATAAAAAGCTAAATAAATTAAAAAAACAAATTAAAACAGAAACATCAATTTATGCCTTCATTCATTTTTAATATTATTTTTTGGTACGTTTAGGCCCTGTCTACACGTATACAAATATTTTTTAAAAACGGATATTTGCCCCTCCGTTTAAGAAAATAATTCTGTCCACACAAAATTGTGATGGTTTTATAACATACCTCAATCCACACTAGAACACAAAAACAACCCCGAACACCCGCCAGCATCTTCAGCAGCCTCCCCTCGTCAAAGGTCGTAAAGTGTACAGGCTAACGTTGCCTTTCTCAAAACACCTACAGATCTCGTCACTGCTGATTCCTGTTCATTTTAAGGATGAGGGAGTTCACTCAAACATATGACTGATGCTCTGGACATGCTGAAGTTTTCCTTCAACTTCTCACTGACAAAAATCCCACTCTGGAAATTGTACCACTGTCTGCTGGTTTGACCGGTCCTGATCCAAAAACATAGTTTCTGGTGGACTCTAAAGACACTATGCAAGACGTTCTTAAAAAATATAGACTCATACAGATTTAATCCCTCTCAATCACTGAAAAGGTCGTGATCAGGTGTCACACCGTCAGCAATAGGCATTCAAGAGACATAGCACAACTATAACAAGGTGAAAGGCCAAATGAGAGTGAACCTGGGGTTGTCTATGACTTTCCCTGGTGAGCATGTTTACAAACTGCATGTGATACCTTTAAACTGCAGATGCTGAGATGAGGCTGTTTGTCCGTTAAGTGTTGCAGTTTAAGTGAAAAGTAATTATTACATCAAGCAGTGCTAACAAAAAGTTATCAAACCACTAGTCTGTCATTATCAGAATTTACTTACTTATTTACGTAGAATTCATTTATTTATTTTTGGCAGCTTAAATCCAAATAGTAACCACAACAATGCTCATGTGACCTGCACCTGAACATGACTTTGACATGTATGTAAGCATGTGGTCTCACCTCCAGAGAGTACAGGTAGCCTGGATTCTCATGCATCAAATACGGCCACCACAGCTTGACATCCACGACTTTGAGCACTCCAGATGGCTCGCTGGAGGAGGCCACACAGCGGCCATCTTTGTCTATCAGAGTGACCTTCAGGGCGGCTGTGGCTGCGGCTGCACCTTGGACCGACACCTTGTATTTGACTAGACCTGAGACACACAGGGAAGACAGCAGTCTGAGTAACGTCACAGACCAAAGAAAACTGTCTCTCTGCTACATCAATAATTGTTAACTAGCAGAGGTGCCTCTGTGCTTGTGAGGGTTTAAATTCAAGTAAATTTTTAGTTAATCATATTTATTAATTTACCAGTGTTGTCCAAGAAGTCAGTCACCACGGTAATGTCATCCACATAGGCCTTAGGGGTCGTGTACAGCAGTACAGAGCGATGAATGCCAGCATAGTTGAAGAAATCAAAGTAGATGTTTTGCACAAAAAAACCATCAGGATACCTGTCGAGCAATCACATTTTCATTATTATTGGAATACTGTAATTAATTTTCCTTTTTTTTTTAACTTTTAAAGGACAAAAAAATGATTCAAGCATAAATAAATACACAAATAAATATGTAAATTTTAAGTTAGAAAACGGAATACATAATAAATACCTAAATGTAAAATAAATAAAAGTAAGTAAAATAAAAACAGGCACGGATAAATACATAAATATGTGATTAAATAAATAAATAAATAAATGCATAAATAATGGTATCAATTTGAAAATAAATATATAAATGCATAAATAAATTGATAATTAAACAAGATATAATTAAATAACTCAAATGTATGTCTTAATTTTTGTACAACTATATGGCAATGGTTCATTTATTTATTTATTTAAATATTTATTTCAACATTTTTTTATTGATTTATTGATACTAATGTCATTTTTGGTCCTCCATATATAATGTGCTATATAAATAAATGTATATGTGTAGATTTTATTGTTGTTGTTGTTGTTGCTGTTGGGCTTACTTGGTGCGGTCGCCCATGTGCTGGATGGTTCCTGGAGGCAGAGTGTCCAGACTCAGGGTGTTGTTGACTGCGATGGTGATCCTGCATGGCTGAGTTGGGTCTTTCCTGATAACACTCCCTATCTCAGCCTCAAAAGGAAGATGGCCGCCTTTATGCTCCGTCACTTTCACCCCGTTCACCCACTGCAACAGGTAAAGACAAAACATCCACATTAACTCCATCACATTATGACCAGAGCAGGATTTATAAGGGATGGGGTTCATGTCTAAAAACTGCAACAAGTGAAGCAGGTGACTTTTATCTTTCCGTCTCAGCCACATGTGACACTCACCATCACAGAGTTATAGTGGGCACTTCCCACTCTGATCACCACTCTGGTTCCTTCATCTGTGATCCAGCGAGTGGGCACCACCACCTCTCGCTCATACCACACCCAGCCAATGAAATCTCTCAGTGAGGCGTCCTGTGTGATGTCATTGTAGCTGGCAGGAACTGGCATCTCAATCACCGGGCCGGTCTGGGGAAAATAAAACTTTAATTAAAAGGTGATATTTCATCATTTCAGTATCTGCTGATAAAGATTCACAGTCGCTGTAGATAACACAGCTGCACAGTGCAAACATCAAGTACATTATTTTAAAATCACTCTGCATCCAACCTGTTCCTTAGGGGACTTTGTTTGTATGTTTCTTTAATTTAACCAAGTAAACAAACTAAAATATTTTATAATGGCCTTTATCACTTAGTACAGCATTCTTATTCTTATTTCTTTATTTATTTTCTTTTATTATTATTTATAAAATAACCCAGTAAACAAAACTGAAATATTTTTAATATGGCATTTATCACAATTCCATTCACCACAGAATTATTATTATTGTTATTATTTTTATTATTATTATAATATTACATTTATTTATCTATTCTAAATAAAATAACCAAGTACCAGTACAGCATTATTATTTTTTATTATTCTTATTATTTTAAACAAAATAACACAGTAAACAAACTAAAATATTTTTAATATGGCATTTATCACATTTCCAGTCAGCACAGCATTATTATTATTATCATTATTATTGTTATATATTACGTTCAATTATTTGTTCATTTGAAATAAAATAACCAAGTTAACAATCTCATTATGTTTTTGTATAGCTTTTTTGCATAGTTCTGCAGTGCATTAAGAAAAACAGTTCTTGCATCCAGCTCCTCCTTTATGGTTTTTGTTTGTTTTTACAAAATAAGTAAACAAACTCAAAATATTTTAATATGGCTCATCACAATTCAACTTCGTGCAGCATTATCATTTATTTTTTATGGTTTTGGCATAGTTCTGCAACTATTTTAATATGGCTTTAGTCACAGTTCCAGTTAGTACAGCATTAGTTTTTGATTTGATTTTATTTTTTTATTGATTAATTGACTCATCGTTAGTGCTCTACTCTTTAGCACATCAGGTTACTGTAAGTGCCCCATGCGTTTGACATGTAAACAGACTAGTTTTTATTTTTTTTTTTTGTAATGGGACTTCTGCTTTTTGGGGACGCTTACTGAGTGACATAAACTCCCATAATTTATAATGTTTCCCTGTTAATACATTACTGTATCAACAGAATCACATTTTTAGAAAATAATTACCAGTATGGAATTATTTTTTGTATTGATTTTTTAAAATAAAATAACCAAGAAAACAAACTAAAATATTTTAATGACTTTTAACACAGTTCCACTTAGTACAGCATTTTACTGATTAACTGACTAATTGTTAGAGCTCTCTCTTCAGCACATCACATTACTGCACAAAAGTTCCTCTTACTTTTGTTTTTTTTTTAAAAATGAGACTTCTGCTTTTTGGGACACTTCAACACACCAAAACTCCCTTAATTATTATTTTTTTTATTTATAATGGTTCACTTTAATAGCGAACCATTATAAATTAAAAAAATAATAATAATGATACAGTTTCAGCAGAACCAGAATAAGGTTAGTTATCAAGTAGGTTTTCACTTTTGAGGAGTTTGCCTTGGTGTCTGGTGCACACAGTAAACATACTAAGAGGAAATAAACAACAAAGGCAAAGTATTGCAAAGGTCAAGAACATAAATGTAAATTATAAGTATTACAATAAAAGTATTAAAAAAATACTGCAAAGAAACTCATTAAACAGTTTTAAATGAGAAAGCTGAACAGTTTTGTGCAGGATGTGGACAGATATTGATCAGAGGATGTGTCAAAGTTCACAGGATAGATAAAATTTGCATTTATCAAAAGACTTGTTAAACTGTGAACCAATCAAAGTGCTCTGCTGTGAACAGCTGTTAGCCTCTGTCCCCCTCACCTCAGACAGCCGACTCTTGTACCAAGCCTTCTCAAAGCCCAGGTTCCTGTTTGGGGACCTGTCGGCTCTGAAGTCCCACAGCCCGTTCAGCTCCTTCACTTCTCTGGAGGAAGACTCCCGGGGGAAGAGCATCCCGGTGTCCAGCAGACATCCCGCCTCAAACACGGTGAACAGGCACAAGACACGGAACAGCCCGGGCCGTTCACACAGCGGCATTCTGAACAGATACACTTCTGCTCTGCTGCAAAGTTACTACCGCAATTTTCTCCACTGAACCAGTCACATGATGACATTTATAGTCACGTGACCAGAGAGCGGCTTTCTCGCGATGCCTTCAGGTACTGAGGGAAACATCTCTGATTGTCATTTAACATTAACAACAAAAAATAATTATAATATATATTTCAGCTTTTTAGATTTTATTAAAATTTACACAGGAAGTCAACATACAAACCATAATGCTACAGGACGGAGATCATGGGTTCAGCATTTATATTACCATTAAATATTGTTAAATAATTAAATTATATTTGTTTAAAGTCATGGTTGAAAGGACGCCCTGGCATAACAACAACAACAACAACGATACTAATAATAATAATACAATAATGGAGGATGAAAAATGACACTATCAATCAAAAAAAAATAAAGGTATAAATAAATACTGTATGTGTATACATAAATAAAGTAGGCTAATAAAATAAAATATGGAAATAAAAAAACAAAATAAATAAATGTGTAAATTAGTTAATGATGGAATACATAGATAAATAAATGTAGTTGTGCGAAACTGCAAAAATATATTTATAAGATATTTATTTGTGGCATGTTGAATATCAACTTTTATTTATTTAATTTTTATGGATTTATTTTCATATTTATTTCAACATTTATTGATTGATTTATTTGTGTAATAATAATTGAAAAAAAACCTACTTGAAAAAAAACAACAACAGAAAAACATTGATAAATAAATGTAGTTGTGCGAAAATGCAAATATACATTTCTGGGATATTTGTTTATTTGTGTCCTGTTTGAAAATCAACTTTTATTTATTTATTTTTTATGGATTTATTTCCATATTTATTTCAACATTTATTGATCGATTTATTTGTATAATAATAATAATAATAATAATAATACAAAATGAAGGATGAAAAATTACAGTATCAATAATAAATACAGGTATAAATAAATCTATATACAAAAATAAATAAAATACTAAAAAAAAAACACTGAAATAAACATGGAAATAAAGAAAAGCAAAATACATAAATGTGTAAATAAATGATTGCAAAAAAAACATTGATTAATGAAGGAAAAATACATTTCCTTTTTTTGTGTGTCCGGTTTGAATATCAACTTTTATTTATTTAATTTTATAAATTTATGTCCATACATGTATTGATTGTTTTATTTGTATAATAATCATCATCATATAATAATAATAATAATAATAATAATAAATAGTTATTATAATAATAATAATAATGAGAAATTGTATTCATATAGCGTTTTGCAAAATAATAATAATAATAATAATAATAATAATAATAATAATTTTAGGACTGCAATAACATAAAATCAACTAGACAAATTAAATAGAAATAAAATACCCCAAAGTAGGCTAATATAAAACCAGAAAGCAAGGTATGGTAAATTGGAAATAAAGAGTATGTGCTTGAAAGGGTGACTAATAAAAGAGAAGAGATTTAAAAGTTGTTACTGAATCTGAAGCTCTCTAAATCAAAAATCCAGAACACGAGGAAGCCAATACTTAATTTTAAATCCACAAGATTCAATAATGCTGGTCCCAAGTCATCATTCAAGGATGCAACATTGAAGAGAAGACACAAGATGGCGCCAGACACTCACACATCAGAGCCAACGGCAGCACACAGACATATCAGTAGTGTAATCTTACAGGCTGAAAGTGTCCAACAGCGCCTCCACATCCCAAATTTTCCTGCAGTACATGGACCGATTGACCTGCCAGGAGCCATTTGCTCTCCCTTTGATGCCTTGTTTGTGGAAATTAGGTCAAACACAAATGTATACAGGAATATACACCATACCCAACAAACTGGTGGTGGCGGTGGTGGTGTGGTAGTTGATGAGGTGGATGTACTGTAGGTAGATAGGTAGGTTATTGACAGGGAAGTGAGTATGCTCTCTTAAATACTCCAGTGACATTTTGGCAGATAGTTGGGTTATGCTGTTAACAGCCAGGTCATGTACCCTCCACTACACCACAGTCTGGTGGTCAGGCACTGGCCATGAACTGCAGCACCTCTGGTACAGATCCACCCACTTGGGGCATCTGTCCTTCCTGTTATTTCCTCACATTGCTCTACTGTCCAAATTTCTAATAAAGGCATAAAATGACCCCATGCCCACCACCTTTGTCTTCCCAGTATTGTTGTCATACTGTAGCCCTACATAGCAACTGTGTTTGGAGACAATGGTGTGCCATCATCCTGAAGTGGCAATCATGGAATGAGGGTTTGGCTCAGGTCTTCTATCCATCTATTCCTGAGGGCACTACTGTAGAAACGATTATGGGCGCAACTTCCAGTGAGATAGTGGAACTGTCTGTGGTTAGTCCTAGTGGCTACTCTTGGTGGCTACCGGCCAACGCTGGTTCTTTTCCAAAGTAATTTGCCTTCAGTTTAGGAAATATTGATTTATTTTTTAACAAATATTTAACTAATGATAACTTAGCATTCTCTAAAATGTCTTTGCAGAACTCTGGTAGCTGTTGCATTGTCTGTGTCTGTAACCATGGGTGCAGATCCCGGGGGGGATGGGGGGACATGTCCCCCCAAATTCTGAAAAACACAAATTGTCCCCCCCAATTCTAAATAGCTTAAATGATTGAAATTGAACAAATGTATACAGTAGTCCTATATACTGGGAGAAAGGGAAGATGATGAGGAGAAATGGGAATCCGTGAGAGGTGAGAGATGAGAACGTGAGTGGACATAACATGCCTGAGACCCTGAAACTAGAAGTAGCATTAACTAACAGCGAAGCAGTGAAAAGGAGGGTGATGGCTGGTTCCATGTACTACTGGCTGTTTAAGAGAAATAAACAGTAAAGGTAAGCATATGATTCTCTTTGTAGTGCTTTTTGAATGACTTGGTGATGGTGATGAGCCTCTATGAAATCGTGAAATATGCTGGCAATCTCAAGTGCTCTGTGGGCATGATTTGCACGCATGCAATTAAAAAAAAAATCACAACTGATTGTGTCCCCCCCAAACTTGTCATCAGATCGGCACCCATGTCTGTAACGACTAACAACCAGTCTAAGCGAAATTTGTGTCTTCAGCAACTGTGTGTTGAACATGTGATCAGAACAAAAAGAGATTGCTCCTGTTGCCATGTTTACCACTGATATGAGAAATAAAACCACAAGAGTTTCACCAGACATAGCGAGGTGAATGACACTTAGGCTGACAGGTCCGTCACTCATCGTCAGTACATGATATCCCTGTTGTTTGCGAATGTGGGAGTAAAAAGTAAAAAAATTACACATAGCACATCTGTGAGTGTTGCACATACAGTGCAGTAATTTACCCATTCAAAAAAGAGATTCATGCTGTGTATCTTACTTCAGTGGACGTAACAAACTGCATTTACTTAGAGATGTAGCACCAAATTCTGGGCCCCATGCGGAAGCAGTCTCTGTGGGGCCCCTCATCCTTCCTCTCTCCATTCATCTCTCACACACCTTTTGAAACTTTTTGTGTTCACAAAGTCAGTTTGCTTTCTTTCCCTTTCCTTTCCTTTTTATTTTTGGAACCCTATTTCCTTGACGAAAGACATGACAGTGTACGTTAATCATAATCAGTTGTTCACTCTGCTCTGAGCTGCGTTTAGTGAGAGGGGCCTCAGAGAGTTTCTACTATTTTTTTTTATACAAAGTTCAGTCTTATAAGTGATATAAGTATAATTTAATTTTATTTATTTATTTAATTCAATTCAATTCAATTCAATTCAATTTAATTTAATTTATAGGGACGATGAAATTTAACATAGTTCCAGTACAGTATGGGACTGCTGTGTGGCACAGAGTTTATAGCTCTTGCTAATTTTCAACTCTTGTCCCTAGTCAGGCTTTTACATGTAGACCTAAAATGTTATTGAAAATATACAATCATACATCTACATGAAAAATGGGGCCCTTCTACTGCTGTAACCAGATGCTCTGTTGAGATGCACCCTTTCTTACAATCTGAGGTGTTAACTACTGTACATAATGTAAAATACAAATTGTAAAATATGTTTCATGCACGTATATAAATCAGAACACATTTAAAATGCAACAAATACAACATATAATACAAAAATCCACAATAAAACAACTGTTCAAACATAGTGGCCTCTCAAGAAAAACAAGCACATGTCTCTGTCACCACATTCTTTATGATGCCCTTAAATTCAGCAGCAGAGAAGAAGCTGCAGGTGTGTCTGCGGCTGCAGGAGGGCAGAGCTGCAGAGAGGTGACTGCAATCAGGTGACATACAAAAAAGTCAGTGCGCAAGGCTAGCGCCTAATATTAGCGCAAAAGACACAAGAACAGTGCAGTCAAATTAGGAATTAAACGGGTGTAGTTACAATCTGCATGGTTAAAACAGCTGCACCTGTCTTAATTAATCACTTAATCATTGCATGCACGCTAAGTGACACACCCACTATGTTTGTGACCTGTGTGGGGACGCTGGAGCTGGCTAACATGCTAAATGCTAACATGCACAGGTGTGTCGTCCAGGTGAGGAACTTTTACCTTCAGTAATGTGAGGACTGTCTGCTGTTTGTGACCATAAGCCCTGATGTGACTGCAGAGCCGCATTCAGCGCGTGCGAGTGGACTGGTTATACTGGGCCCAGAGAGGCCGAGTGGACTGGTTATACTGGGACAGAGAGGTCGAGTGGACGGTTTATACTGGAACCAAAGAGGCCAAGGTGACTGGTTATATTTGAACAGAGATTTTGAGTGAACTGGTTATACCGGGACCAGAGAGGCCGAGTGAACTGGTAACACTGGGACAGAGAGGCCAAGTTGACTGTCTATCCAGTGGACTGGTTATACTGGAACCAGAGAGGCTTATACCGAGACCAGAGAGAATATGTGGACTGGTTCTACTAGGACAGTGAGGCCAGGTGGACTGGTTATATTTTGCTGTGTGAATGAAAGAGCAGAGAAGCTGACCCTGGAGCAGACTGAGGACTCACCTTCATACAGGTGAGTACAACCAGCTC